ATATTTTCAATTTCTGTAGGATTTAAGCAATTAATTTTCAATACTGATCAAACTGAAAAGCAAGCTTTGGAACTACAAAATGTTACAGTTTCAAAGTATGATTCTATTAAGTATTTATCCTTATTAATCGAATTGAAAAACATGTTATGAAACTGTAAAATTTTACAGTTTTAAAACATGATTCATTTCAGCACCCAAAAAAACTGACACTGTAAAATTTTACAATTTTCACTGCCTGTAACTAAAACTTAAAAACAGCTTATTTAGAATTTGAAAATTTTCTCCCTTAAAACAGGAAAATAGAAGCGTATATCAGAGAAAAGGTAGAAAAATTGATAAATTGAAGGAGAGAAACAAATAGAGAGAGAATATTGTACTCCGACAACTATTTTTGGTTTAGATCTAGTTGGATCTCGTGTAGATTTACTCAGATTTGATGTAGATATACTCATCTTCTTCGCCAGAAATTCTTCTCATTCGTCATCGATGAGGGTGAAGTTGTCACGACCCGCTCCCCGTACCCAAGGGTTAAGTATCGTAATGGCCAGTAACCGAGATTACCTCCAGCCAATTCTTAAATAAATTAATAAACGCAAGCGGAAACAATATTTAGATAAAGGTACCAAAATAATCATTGGAACTTATATTTTTATTACAAAATAAATTGACCAAAAAGGCCGATATTTACATATAAAAATATCATAAAAATGCTGTGTGTGCCTATTCCGCAGCCCCACATCTAAGACTTTTCAAAAACTATTTCTGAATTGCATTGTTTCCTGAAAATGGTAAACGACTATAAGAACGTCGCTGAGTAATAAATATTATACCAAGAGTATAAGGGATACAAAATAACTATGGATAGTTAATTAGACCAAAACATTTACATAACTCGATTTGGTGAATAAATCATTTAACTAGTAGAAACTGAAATACAAAAATTATGTAAATAAATAACCATAACCACGGTACAGAACAGAACAGAACAGAGGTCACAAGAGTGACAGTAAGAATAGAGGTACGGACTCAAGAGGTGGCTCGTATGGACCATAGAGGTGGCTCCCGCAATAGTGTAACACTTATCTCCGCACATAACAGAGATCAATGGATCCATGACAAATAGAGGACCGCAAAGTAGTCAAACAGAGGCCAATGGTTATTTAAGTTCCCCAAGGCATAGGACTCTCGTGGTGGTACTTACAAAATATAATTGTTTATAAGGTTATAGTCAAATATTCTTTAAAATATAAACAAATATATCCATGGGTTTCTTTTTAACAAATAGGGTTCAGAAAAAAAATCTACGTAATTGAAATATTAATATAATTTATAATAATTTATAAAACATAACTTGTATAAAATAAACTATGGTAAGTTAAAACATACGTAAAATATATTATGATAACTCAAGGTATAATATAACTCACCTTAACTTTACCCTCTCAACTTCGATTATTTTTTTTCTTCATTTTCTTCCCTTTTCTTTTTTTCTTCCATTCTCTCTTTCTTTTCCTTTCATTTCCTTTCTTCTTTCTTTCTCCTTCGGGTGAAACGCCTCCCTATTTATAGGGAGATAAGGCGCATACGTGCCCTGAATCTCCCAACAAATTCGATAATCAATTATAAAGATTCATTCTTATCTTTAATAGATATTTAAGATAATTACACTTTGACCCAATATTTTAATATAACTATATAAATTAATTAATTATTAATTAAATTATACTCTATCATATACCAACAGTAAATTAATTATTTATTTTACTACCACATCCATTATTATTATTATTTATTTATACTTTGACCCCTAAATTCATAATAATTATATTATTTCACAAAATTACACATAATAATACAAAATAAATCATATATTTTCCTAACTATGATTAAATAATATTAGTATAAATTTTACAAA